GGGGGGGGGGGGGGGGGGGGGGGGGGAGTGGGCAAGGGCCGAGGTACGTCATAGGGCGGATACGATAGCTGCTTCCCTGGGTTTATGCTTTTGGCGGTGCACCTGGTGCTGTCATCTTTGAGCTGGTATGTCGTGTAACGCCTGACAAGGAATATATTTTATCACCGCTTCATCGCACTTATCGTTCGGAGAAGACAGTCGGTACGCGCTTGAAGGATGCGATCTGACATGCGACAGACGCACTGGCATGATGAATCGGACACGCACAACGTCACGGCGGTGCTGCTTTTTCTCCCAAACGAGCACGTGTTGACCACGGTTGCTATCCCGCACGCGCGTGGGCCTGGGCCAAAGAAGGTACGTTACCTAAAGCTAGTGAAGACATTCGGGATGGAAAGTGTAACCGCCCGGAGCACTCTCTTCTCCAGGCCGAAAAACTAACCGCGCGCGCGAGCTCGACCAAGCACGAACGACTCACTCCCGGCGTACCAACACCTTTGTCATCTCAAACGCTTTCGCCCACAACAAGAAACAAGGCCATCAAGACCAATGAACGCGGAGAAAAAAATAAAAAAAGGGCAAACGGGGACAATGTTTTCTTGCCCTGGACACTCCCCCTCCCCGTCCATCGTCTCGCCACACTGCCGATCCACCTGCATACCTGTGCACGTAGATCGTGTTGTCGGAGAAGGCGAAACGGCTCAGGGCGTCCCTCTCCTCTCTTGACGCCTCCCCCCCCCCCCCCCCCCCCCCCCCCCCCCCCCCCCCCCCCCCCCCCCCCCCCCCCCCCCCCCCCCCCCCCCCCCCCCCCCCCCCCCCCCCCCCCCNGCGCCAGGGCTGTGTCAGCCGGACAAGCGAAGATCACCTGCGGCCGGTAGCGGGGCAGTTGTGGTAGATATGTACGGGAGCAATCTATTGGACGTGGAAACATGTGGGTGGCGGTAAAGCGGCAGCGATGCGGCGACGGCGGCGAGTGCGGGAGGGCCGGTGGGGCGATGTGCAACAGGTGCTTGTGACGACATCGTAGGTGAGGCGGCGTAATTAACGCGAGGCTGCTGGAAAACGGTTGGTTGGCGACAAATTATCGACAAGGCGATGCCGTACGCGAACGGAATCAAATAGTACCAGTAGTGGGGGAACCGCCTTGGCCTGGGAGAACCGCGCAAGTTTGGGTGCGGGCAACCATCGATGGGATCCAAAGGTTTTCAACACTCGCAAGGCATCCTGAGACAAAAAACGGCGGTACACAAACACAACCTTTCCTCGAGCCCACGATATCCTGCCGTAACCACGGAGAGCGTCGCAATATCGAGGTCACTGCCAACGCTCTGACGTCATTAGTGCGCGGATGAGGAAGGCTGCAGCATCGACTTACCGACAAAACCATGCTGACAGAAAAAATTGAAACAAGCCGCGCGAGGAGAGAAACAGACAACAAACGGCCCGAGCTCGCCAATGTTAACCTTGACTAACACCGAAAAGTCCAACACGCTTCAACGCTTTCTCTCGCCACTTGCTCAATCGAACAAAAAGTGAACCAACGCTGCACCTACACAGGTCCTCGACTACTTGCCAACACCGCCCCGTGGGGCGAGAAATAAATGCTCCTGCCCTCCTTCAAAAAAGAGAAATGTATCCCAGTGCATTGACCAGATATTCTGACAGTGAACTTCGCCGATGAAAATAGTACCGTGCCCCCATGCGCGCAGAAGCAATACATCTCCCTCCCTCCCTCCCTCCCTTTCTCACTCTCTCCATATAGATCCTTCCGTCTCTCTCGCCCCCCCCTCGTCTCTCTCGCTCACCTCATCGAAAATCCTCGCCTTTCCCCTGGCGTCGACAACTCTCCACCTCCCAGCGTCGTCGTCCCCGTGGTCCTCCTCTTCCTCCTTAGCCTTGACCTTAACCTCGACCACGTCTACCCCTTCCCCCGACCCCTCGCTCCCTGCCCCCTCCACCACCGAATCTTCGACCACCACATCAGCCCCCGCCCCTCCCTTCCGCCCTTCCCGGTGACCCGCAGCCTCCGCCGCGACAGGCTTGGGCCTCTTCGCGGCCACGCTGCGGCAGGCGTTGCCTAGCTCGATCTTGTCCTCGCCGATCTTGCGGCAGATCTCTCCCACGTACTGGCGGCTCCGCCCCGCCGGGGTCATCCACTGCGGCCTCCCAAACACCTTGTGTGCAGTCGTTTTGATAAGAAACGTGACGCTAAGTTGAATGCGTGTTTTTTTATTTCCTGTCTTGCCCTGGTGCACCTCGGTTTGAGAATAAACGTAACGTTATGAAAAGATGCGTGATTATTTTTTCCTGCCTCCAGGCGCCAGCCTGGTGCACCTCGGTTTGAGAAGATGGTGCACTCAGTTTGAGAAGAAAGGCAGCGTTATGATGAGATGCGTGTTTTTTATTACCTGTTTCACCGCAATCGATCTCACCCGTAGGTAGGCACCTGGCGGTTGCGGAAGACAAACCACCAAGGTACGCGGAGCAATTTATTTGGGAGAGAGCTTGGCGGCAGACCCCACACAACGCCAAATTCATCCGCCTCTCTCTCTCCCTCTCTGTCTCTCTCAGTGTATCCCTACGTCTCTGTCTCTCTTGTCTCTCTCTGTCCCTTGCCCCCCCCCCCCCCCCCCCCCC